GAATTAGAGAATAATGAAAACAGAGCTTTCTCGGGCTTCACCCTCCCACTCTCCCCAGCATCCCACCCAACCCCTCTCATAAGAGAGTCTACACTAACAATAGAATCCAAGAAACAAGAAATCCAGGAGGCCCATAAAGAAAGCACTCAGATGAGGTGGACTTACTGAGTCGAGTGGTGGTTTGAGCAGCACTGGTCGTGGAGGCAGGAGCTGCAGTGGTGGCGGCAGCACTGGTGGTGGCGGCAGCACTGGTGGTGTCGGCAGCAGTGGTGTTACCAGCGGCAGCTAAAATTAGGAAGAAAATATCCAGCTGAGACACTTGACTCTTCCCCAGGAAACAAAATTTGTCCCACCCGAGTTTGGAGGTACATTCCTCATTCTGAATTCATCTCTGCAAATGTCAACAATTTTGTCATACCTTTAGCCAGGCTACCTGCTTTCCTTTAGCCTCATTCTTCGTAACTCTGCCTTGTGGGACAGAAAGAATTTGGGGTTTCCCTACAAACACTGTGAGACTAGAAAGGAGACAAGAAAATACTTTTTCCCATGGGATGAGCACAAAATAACAATCCATATGTGTTCCTATTCGCAGGGATCGTGGCTCAGGCAACAGGAGAGCTGCCAGTGGACTTTCTGGTGCCCTCCCATGGGCCAACTTGAACGCTTTGGTTTCCATTGCAGCATGAATGAGTGTGAGTAGGGGGTAAACTGTACAGGAGAAGAGAAAAAAGAATAAGATCATGTATCTCACATTAGGCCAATAGGATCTCCTTTCTTTGAAGGAAGCACAGTCCCTTCCCTCAGGATCCAGCCTGAAATGGGATTATATTTGTATGGCCTGTTGTTCAACTTAGACTCCATCTGTTACAGAAATATATAGGTGAGCCACATTAGACACAACAGGAAACATTAATACTATTCTGGCAATGATAAAAGTAAGTAAATGCCCCACCAATCATCCCATGTTCATGGCAAGATTGATGACCATTATCACTCTCTACAACTTATACCAGAGCTCCTGACCAATAGGCAGAGTCAGACCCTACATTTGTGAGTTGCATCTAACTCAACAAGTGGATAATTCATTCTCCATAACCACACTCTAACCATGCTGTCTCTGTCCTCATTCAGAAGGGAAGATGTTGTTTTCCATTAGCCTCACATGGCAGGTAGGACATACGGTACAGTGTGTGAGGTCTGACTGCATTCCATGACCTTCTGACTAAAGGACACAGGTCCCCAACTGTGGAGGACAAAAAAAGAAATCTTCCTCATGTCTGCATGAGCACAACATACATGACATTGGACATACAGGACACTGTGGGAGAAGCCCAAGAAATACTAGGGGCTTTGGTATACAACCTTGGGTTTCAGATCACAGAAGAAAAACACACTTCAGCCTGGGAATAAAACATATGTACTGTTATAAAGAGCAAAGCATAAGGCCATCCTTCCACCTCACCCCTACATTCTACAGTTTGCATTCCACACTCCCATGTGCTCCTAATGCCCACATTTCTACATCACCTTCAGCATCTACATTCTCTTCCATCATCCTGAGACTTATTAACCCCTTTACACACTGGCCATATATTCAGCCCCTCAATTTATGGTAATCAAAAGGCTTTACATGCATCTCTCCGAATTCACAGACCACAAACTCAGACCATATGCCCTTGTCATTTCTGCTACAGGACAATGAATAATAATCCACAATTTATGTCAATCCATACCAAAGACTTTATATTCTCTAATAATGTTTAAGAAATCAGCACATTTGCTATGTTCACAATGAACTTCAGAGGCAGAAATGTGGCTTCCCCAGGCTTCTGCTTTGGACTCTCTATACTATGTCCCATATGGCAGCTTTGAGAATAAGCTGGATTGGTGACATCCCTGATATGAGGAATTCTTAATCTCAGGAAACAAACTGAGGGTTGCTGGAGTGGTGGGCGGTGGGAGGGATGTGGTGGCTGGGTGATAGACACTGGGGAGGGTATGTGCTATGGTGAGTGCTGTGAATTGTGCAAGACAGTTGAATCACAGATTTGTACCTCTGAAACAAATAATACAATATATGTTAAAAAAAAAAAAAAAGAAGATAGCAGGAGGGGAAGAATGAAGGAGGGGAAATCAGAGGGGGAGACAAACCATGAGAGACGATGGACTCTGAAAAACAAACTGAAGGTTCTAGAGGGGAGGGGGAGGGAAGATAGGTTAGCCTGGTGATGAGTATTAAAGAGGGCATGCTCTGCATGGAGCATTGGGTGTTATAAACAAACAATGAATCATGGAACACTACATCAAAAACTAATGATGTAATGTATGGTGATTAACATAACAATAAAAATTTTAAAAAAGAAAAGAATAAGCTGGCTTGGAAAACAGTCATGACAGGAAGGTGCAAGCAAAGACTTACCAGTAGAGCTACCAGATGGAGCACTGGTTGTAGACTCTGAAAGAGAAGAAAAAAAATAGGTGAAATTTGAGCACCGGTTTGGGGTTAATAAGGGACGAGAGAATATGGACAATATTGCAGGGTTTCACAGTTGAAGAACCTTAGGCTTTCCTACATATGTTGAGCACAGAAACATGCACAGATGATATGAAACCCACAAAACCCCACAAAAAACATAATACATCTCCATTTTGTTTTCCTGAATTCAACCTCTGATGACCTTCTTAAACATATTGTCCTGAACTAACAATGAAGTTGTATTCCAAGGTTAAAACTGAGCAAACACCTGACTGAAATGTCAAAGCCTAAAGGGAGAGTCCACTCTATCTTGAGTGGTCAGACAAAATGGGGATGGAACAGGGTAGTGCAGTAGAGGACACAGAGGTTAGCATTCTAAGCCCCTCCAAACCCACATCCACACAGAGCTTATATCATAATGTACTCTTCCTCCAGACCTTATTTCAGGTAAGAAGCTTTACTTACGGCCTGAGACCAGGAAGGTGGAAACTGCCACCAGTACTAGCAATGCCAAGACCTTCATTCTGGTGAATTGAGTAGCAAGGAACACAGAGAAGAAAGCGTCAGAGCTCAGGAGGAGGTGGGACTCTGACTCAAGCAGTCCACATCCTGACGTTATATAGGCAAGGGGCACCAATCAGGATCTGCCAGATGAGAATCGCAGCTAGTTAATGTCAGGAAATGTTGGTACTGGGAGAAACCACTAGAGAGTCAACAGCACAGCCAGAGGCCCTTTGGAAAGATCACAACTTCAGTCCCTTGATTCTTTTTTTTTTTTTAAGATTTTATTTATTTATTTGACAAAGAGAGACACAGCGAGAGAGGGAACACAAGCGAGGGGAGTGGGAGACGGAGAAGCAGCCTTCCCGCCGAGCAGGGAGCCCAATGCGGGACTCCATCCCAGGACCCTGGGATCATGACCTGAGCCGAAGGCAGACGCTTAATGACTGAGCTACCCAGGTGCCCCAGTCCCTTGATTCTGACACAAGTTTCAAATCAAGAGTTTCCCATATTAAACATTTTCCAGAAAACAATTCTGCTTCCAGGCTTCCTCTTACCTTGTAGGGTAGAGTGGCACCATGATTACCAGCTCTGCTGACAACCTGGAGGAGCCCAATACCCAGGATCGCAGGATTACTCAAACCTGCAGTGCTCCTTTCATACACATTAGAAGTTGGATGACTACAGAGTGTTTAGCTCTAGGTTTCCTGAAATCAGAATCATCAGGGTATTGCAGACAACTCTCAGAACCATCCACCTAGGTTAAGCTGTACCTTCCTCCAGTGATGGCCTTCCTCATGTACATGTAGATACTCTCATTACATGCAGATACTCTCATCTGAAACTCAAACACAGTGAGCCCACACTGATAGGATCTCTCCAGATTTAAGCACTTCTTGTGGAAAAATTCAAAGTCAAAGAGAAAGAAGATAGAATATGAAATGAACGTTTGCTAATTAATGCAGGCATTGAATCAATGCATTCATGCAACAAATATTTGACTACTACACTTTCGAGAAACAGCAATGAACACAGCACATAAAATTCCATGGAATACATGCAACTGTGGAGATTCGTCCGTTAAAAAGTAAACAGAAAGGAAGAAAGGGATGGAGAGAAGGAGGGAAGTGGGTGGAAGGAAAACTGTGTATTTTGTAAAATGATGATTCCTGATTAATAATAATACAGGAAAATAGAAAGGGGAGTATCATGGAGACAGAAAGCGAGGTTAAATCTTAGATAAGGTAGCCAAAAAAGGCATTACAGTAAAAGTGATATTAGAACAAAGCCTCGAAAATGCTGAGGAATCAAACCTGTTACATCTTTGGGAAGTGATTTCCCAGGAAAGGAAAGAGTAAGTGCAAGTCCCTTATTCTTTCACGTCTGTCTACCGGAGCTGAGTAGGGCCCGATACTGCACCACGACTTGTCAAACTACTTGCTTTTATTTGTCACACACACCCCAGCTAAGTAAATGTGACAATGAAGCAAAAACTTCACATTCACATCACCACCGAGTGTGGGACCCATCCAGGTCTCCAATGAAAGGTACTGAAAATGTCTTGGAAAACTTGAAAACGATGAGAAATCACCACCATCTAAAGGTTCCTTTACAGTTAAATGGCTCTGATACTTCAAAAGTTGTTCTTGTTCATACAAAATATGCCTTTTAGTAACATACCCTCAGTGGGAGAATCTCAGTCCCATGGACAGCACTGAACATCTACTTCCTCTTTTGTATTGAACTATACTTGATATTTAACACTGTGTAAATTTAAGGCGCACTACATGTTAATTTGATAGATTCGTATATTGTATATGATTGCCATTGGAGCATTAAGTACCACTACTTCTATCATGTTACATAATGATCACTTCTTTTTACAGGTTGGAATAATTAAGTTCTACTCTCCTAACAAGTCAGATGATTGTAACAAAATTTTATTGTCTATATTGTGCCTATCGCTTTATTATGTGTTATATCTCTAGGGCTTACAAATCATCAGGGAAATTTTTTTGGGGGCGGTAACACATCTCCTATGAAAACAAACTGTTTAATCATATGTAATAAAAACCAGATTTTTAAATCAGATCTTGAACAGATTAAACGAGAATTTAAATTTGTGGTTTATTTCATAATTCCAAACTGAATCTTTCCTTTTCCTTTCTAAACAGTCCACTACGTAATTTGTCTTATAAGCAATTAACCCAAAACCCCCAAATCCTTTCTATAGCAGTTGCTGCTACAAAACTGGAACTTTATATTCCACGTCCAAGAAAGATGTGCAAATGAAATGCTTCTTGCTTCATCCTTATTATCTGGAGTCCCTGGAAGTCTTATTTTCCCTTTGGACATGAATTCAGGAACAATTCAATATATCTGTGGTGAACATGGGACCGATCCTTGAGCATAGCTGCAACAGCATCCTCATGGGTATCGAAGTGCACGTCAGCTTCTCCAGTGGCCTTCTCATTAGAACTGTATTCCATGGTGATTCTAACAGGCTTCAGCAGAGCAAAGAAGTTTATAATGTCTTGGGCATTAGCTTGGAAAGGCAATCCTCTCATGTGGACAAAATGTAGTGAAGATGTAGTTCCAAAATCAACAGCCTCTGGAAGCTTTTCTGACATCTCCTTAGGCAGTTCTATTTCCTTCTCACTTTCAAAAGCTGTCATGGGTCGAACATCCTCATTTACTTCATGTTCTTCAAAGACCATTTCTGGCTCAGTTATATACTTAGCAGTAGGAGAAGATGCCATTTTCTTTCCCTTATGAGAACCAACATGTGCTCGGACTTCATTCCTTCTGCTTGGAAATATCTCTATATAATGGTTACCAATTTCTTCCCTATGTTTCAACAGAGCTTGGTTGGCCATTTCTGGTTCTTCGAACTGCATATAGGCTTCTCCTGTTTTTCTTCTCCCTCTGTAGTCCATGACAAAAGTGATGTCTACTATATTCAGTCCTGCAAAGAAGTCTACGATGTCTTTCTCATTGCAACTATACGGAAGTCCTCTCAAGCGAACCACACCATCATTTACCATGGGTGAAGACTTGATCTGCAGGCTCTTCATTAAGGCAACCACATCTTCGTTGTTTATCTCATACACTTCCACATATCGTTGTCCCATGTACATGCGATGCTTTTCTAAGGCTTTTTGCACATCCTGCTCTGATTCCATTTCAATTAAGGCATCACCCCTTCGTTTCCCATCTCTGTTTAAGAGGAAGTGTATTCCATTCTCACCATTTCGGATTCTGCAGTCTGAGAAAAAGTTAACCAAATCTTCTATAATGCATGACCATGGCAGTCCTTGAGCTCGAATGAGATAAACATCATCCACTTCTTCTCCTAGCTTGGATGAAGCCAATTCATACTCAGGGAGAGGTGGAAGGTCTTCCAGGTAGGTAGTTTGGACTCCTGAGATATCACCTCACACCTTTTAGAATGGTTGTCATCAATAAAACAAGAGATAACAAGTGTTGGCAAGCTTATGCAGAAAAGAGAACCACAGTACACTGTTGGCGGGAATGTTAATTGGAGCACTCACAATGGAAAACAATATGAAGCTTCCACAAAAATGAAAAATTGATCTACCATGTGTTCCAGCAATCCCTCTTCTCAGAATATACCCAAAGGAAATGAAAGCATGATTTTGAAGAAACATCTGCCCTCCCATGTTTATTGCAGCATTACTCAAATAGTTAAGATAATGGAAACAACCACGTGTCCATCAATGGGTGAATGGATAAGAAAGATTTAGCCATGAGGAAGAAAGACAGCTGTCACCCACTACAAGGATGGACCCTGAGCATATTATGCTAAGTGAGATAAGTCAGACAGAGAAACACAACTGTTGCAAAGTATCACTTATACATGGAATCTGAAAAAGCCAAATGTATAAAAATAGACATTAAAACTGGTGTTACCTGGGACGGGGTGTGGAGAGGCAAGACAGATGTTGTTTAAAGGTACAAACTTACAATGAGGAATGACAAAATACCCCAGAGGGCTCTTCCTTCTTTTGGTTTAGTCTCTGAGGCACAAGAGCCCCTCTGCTTGCCAAGACATGCTGGGGGATCCTCATCGGGTAGATGGAGAAAGGCTGCAGGAATCCCTGAGAAGGCACTCTGCTCTCTGAGGCAAGGAGATGTCCTGGTCCTAGGTAATCTCACTTCTGCCATGAGGCACATAACTTCAAACCATGGTGGAAAGTTAACATTTAAAAAAAATCAAAACAAAACATATTCTGAAGGAAAAGAAACAGAAAAGTTAAAAGGAAGTAAAAAAGGAAGTAGCCAGAAAGTAAAGGGATTCTAGGGTTATACCCAGTATGGAATAAACGCCAGCAGCCCAGCGCAGCCACTCATGGGCTCTCAACAGAACTGGACACAAACTGAAGCCTGACCTAGCAAATGGTTCGGTATTGAGCCCCCGCTGTATGCCTTCCACCATGCTGCCAGTGCAGGGCACAGAGACCCACCAGATGGAGTGAAGGGGATGACTGGTTTGCTGAAGAAAGACTACAAATGTGCATCATTTAGGGTCCACTCAGGACTTAGGAACAGCACAGTGGGTGAAACAGGGGAACTTTACTATAAAGAATACTGAATTCTGATACATGGGTAACTCCAAGGAACCCCCATGTGGAGCACCAGGGCTGAGGGAGAATATTCAAGGAAGGACAATGGTGGAATGGGGCCTTCTCCCTGAAACTGGTGGTCAGACCTCAGTCAAAAAGGTGGAGTTCCACCCACTGCATAGCAGAGATGTTCCCTGATTTTCCCAGACTGAAGCTGGTCTGTAGTTGCTGGGCCAGCAGGGAACAACCATCCCCTCTGCCCCTCGGAGTGCAGGGGGCAGGAGACAATCAGCAACCCATGGCCTAAATGTGCAGAGAAGGTAGGGGCTCAGGGTATAGGTGGGCCACATGGGGCCTGCAGAGAGATGCGGCTCAGTGGGAACCCCCAGGCCACTAGCAGGGACTGCTGAGTGAATTGGGACTGGTGCAGAAAAGGGCCTTTGGGATACCAAGTCCCATGTCAAGAGGGTTGTGGAAAGATTAGTGCCCATCCAGATCCAGGCTGCCAGTGCCCCCAGGACTGCATATGCTGGCCACGTGGCTGGGGCAGGACTCATCCACACAGTCCCACACCCACATTGCTGACCACCATGCTGCAGCTACAAACCACGGGGAAGCCCCTTCCTCCTGCAATCTCTCTCCAGCGGCCTCTACGGAGAAAGTGAACATCACCATCACTGTAAAGGGCACATGCTTAATGAGTCCTCTACACTGTGGCAGAGCATATGCTGAAGGGCACATTTGGATTCAAGAGCAGTAAATTGACCACTGACATAACAGGACACATAAAAATCCAAATAACTCTGAGCCTCAGATTCCCAGGTGCAGTAGCAGGACCCCAAGGCCCCCACCAAGGGTTCCACCAGCACAGCTGGACACTCATCTGTCATCTGACCAGCTTCCACAATAAATGTGGACAAAGAGTTCTCAGAGACTGTTTTTCTGACATGATGGGAATTTCACTGATATTGTGTTGCTTCAAATAGTATTTTTTAGCATTATCATTTTAAGAGGCATCTAAACTGGAGTGATAATATATGTAAATATTGAAAATATGCTCACAAATACCAACAAATTTTTCACTAAAACAAATGGCATTATATAAATATTGGGAATGCTGTATCAAAATTAGACTGAGATCATTTCCACACCCTTAGTTTCATACACTTATGTGGCATCTATCTTATTTTTTTACTTTATTAGATAACAGACTTACAAGTATATATACGTATATATATATATATATATCAGCCGAGGTAATCAATTTACTTGTGCCTCAGGATATTTATTCTTACTAAGAAAATAAGAAGATATATACGTGTCTGAAGAAAGTCAAATCCTTAATGCATCCCCAAAACTTTTAACTACTGCCCTTTCCCAAAACAATATTTTCATAATTTTCATTGTAAAAATTAAAATAGAAGTGTGTGTAAGAAGTGAAGGTAAAAAGTCATCAGATCTTCCAATACAATGTGATAACTGCCATTATTACTTTGTTAATGACACATCTCCTAAACCTTTATATGTACACGTGAACACATGCTTCTCCATGCCTAATATTCCATACTATCACTGTTCCCACCACCAAAAAGCACATGTTAAATGAGTTTGTCCATGTGCTTGTTCTCATATGCAAATGTGTGTCTCTACAAACGTACATCTATATGTACTTGTGTCTTACAAAATGGTTTACAAAAATGGCATTATATTCCAGACCATTCTCTCTTTGTTGTACAAGGAACTCTACTTCCTAGAAATGCAAGTCAGCCACTGCACATCTACAGCATTCTTCTCACTGGCTTTCCTATGTCATCACTTACTCTCCCTGCTGATGGGAATCCAGGTCATTTCTAGTGTTTTGCTGCTACCAATCATGAAGCCATTCATATCCTTTGGACTGTACCTTTACATACAAAAGTTGCTATAGGTCTCCAGAGGGTTTTTGATAAAATCATATGTGTCATTTAAATTGAATAGATATTTTGAAAATTCATTTCCCAGAGGATCTTAAAAATTAATATTGACAGAATAGAATGTAGGGGCGTGTTTTTCCTACCCTCTCTGGCAACACAAACTGCTATCTTGATTTAACTTTGTGTATCTGATATGTCAGAAGCAGTATTTGTCATGCTTATTTGCATTTCCTGATTATAGCACACTTGAGCGTGCTGATCTATTTGTTCTCCATCTGAATTTTCGCTCTCAGGTTTTGCCCAATAACATCTGTTATCTCTCTGTCTTCGGTTATCATTCAAGGACTTATACCGGATGAGTGATATTATCATTTTCATCTTTCCTAAAATCACAAGGTTTCCGATCTAACATATAGATTTATTTTATTCACAATATTCTTTTTTAGATGTTTTATTCAAAGATTGCTTTCATATTTATTATAATTTTTATATTAAACAACTTGGGAAACATGTAATGGGATCTTCTTAAATCACCAACACATTAATACTCCTGCCCACAGAGACCACCACTCTCTAATCCCTAATTTTTCCAATGATCAGGAGGTTGGTCCTGGTCCCCACTGCACACTCTACTTGGAGCATATTTGAAAGGAAGACAGGCTCTGAGACGAAACCAGAAAAGCAGCTTCACCTGAAGACAGACCCTAGGGGGAAGCATCAAGGACTCAGTCCAAAATCAGACCCCTCTCCCCCACTGTACACCACTCAGAAGGTGGAAGCCTCTGCAGCCATCCTGGGCTGCGATGGGCAAGGACACACTACTGAGTCTCAATAAAACAAGAGTTAACAAGGCACAGGCATTGATGAAGGCTAAAAAGAAGTCCTAGGGCAGTAGGAGACCCAGTAGGATTGGCAGTTAGCACCAAAGAGAACATCTTGTCCCACTCTGCCTTCAAGGAGCTGAGGCACACACAGTGCACAGTGACTCTCCAGCGTTAGAAATCTGAAAGTGCACCAAGTGCCAGGTACAGATGCAGCCTGTTTCTACTCTGTTCAGTACCTGTGACTGCTGTCATATGTTACTGCCATTCAATCTCAGCCTCAACATCACCTCTTCAGGAGAGTCTCTGATGGCTTCCAAACTGAAGTACCCCTCAGCCACCGTCACGTAACTTGATTCTATTCCCATCATAATATCTATCGTTACTTGATATTTTCTTGGCTCTTTGTGTCTTGCACTTTGTTTGGTTTTCTGCCTCCCTTCAATAAATAAGATCTAAGGGAACAAAAGTTTAGTTTGTTCAACTCCATTCCATAGGACTTAGAAGAGTACCAAGCACTTAGTAAGCTCCTGAGAAATGAGTTATGAACGCATAAATGAATACAATAGAAATTCATATAAAAACATCAAACAAAGAGGGAGAACTTTTCTTAAAGGATCAGGGAGGAGTATACTATGAGAAGTAAGGACAAGTGGATGTGGATGACATCTTGGAAAGCAAAGTCTCAGGCTATGCCTGTGAGTTATGATATAAAATAGAGGAAGAAGACAGGCAGGCAGGAATCCCATAAACAAAATTAAGAAAGAGTGAGTTCCAGTGCTGTTTAGCTACAAAGGTACTGAATTGTCTCAAATCTATAATGAAAGAAATCTGGATATACAGAGAGTTGCACAAAAAGCAAGATACACCCACAGAGGAAGATACGACTGACTTCCACACACACAAGTGAAGCATATCCGTTACTCAGCTGTACCCTAACACCTTACAGTACTTCCTGTAATGAAAACCCAGGGAAGGTCTTTCCAGAACTTCCATGTGTCCTTGTTAATTATTTTGCTGTCAGAAAGATCTCTCCTAAGCACAAATTCTCCCCATCATTGGCTTTTCAAAATCAACAAAAGGAACGTCTAAATATTCCCCCAGTTCCTCTTCATTTCCCAATCCAAGCTCATCCCACTCACAGTTTATATCAGTTCCTACCATTGCCCATCGTCTTCCCACTAAATGTGAATGGCTGCTCCCTGCTAGAAAACCCAGAGCAAACCACAAAATGCTCTCCTGTGAAGCTAAACATTCAGAAGAGTGATAGTTTCTAAATTTATTGCTTTATTTTTATCTCTGTCTTTTGAGAAATACTGCATTGTTACTTCTTCCTTTATTGTATTTTGCATTCTTTTCATTTTCTGAAGATCTTCCTGTTTCTCTCTACAATTCTCTCTAGTCCAGATGTCTTTGTCACACTCATATAATTGATAGCTCTCATCATCCCTTGACCACATCCAAACTTTGCTAACAAATTGCCTTTGTTTTACCTAAATGTTGCAGACTGTGCATCATTCTCAGGCATCCAAAATTTCCTTCCTGGAAATCTGAAAACAATGACAGTTTCAGAATGTCCTCACTGACATCCTAGCAAAACACCTTTCTGAATACAGTGTCAGGTGCATCCTGGAACACTTAAAGGAAACTACCTTTTCCTCCTCCTTACCTCCCTGAACCCTCACACTTATTCCATCGATCTTTGATCATCCATTACCCTCCTAGACATCTGACAACACTCATAGTTTTACAGTTTTCTTCCTTAGAGCGGTGTCATCTGAATATGGTGCCAAGCAGAACTTGAAATTCAATCAAGCCTCCTTCTTCCTGCTCACCACCCTCTACCCTGACATTTACCTTCTTGGATCATCACACTTGCTTGATTTTGCACACTGGCACATATTTGTTGAAAAACCTGCTCAAGTTTCTTGGACATTGTGTGATTTTTATCTGCCATTACTATTCATCTATTTTGCACCATTGTCCAAAAAAAGACTTACAGCCCTTTCATAAGAACAGATTCTGGGGTGATATTAATTCATACCAAAACCTCAAGAACACATCTTTTAACATGAAGTCTATACTGCATCAAGCCTTGAGTCTACAATAATTTCATTGTGAGTGTAGATAATAGGCTTTGGAAATCCGCATGAATTGGCCTCTTAAGAATTAACCAGGGGCGCCTGGGTGGCTCAGTTGGTTGAGCGACTGCCTTCGGCTCAGGTCATGATCCTGGAGTCCTGGGATCGAGTCCTGCATCAGGCTCCCTGCTTAGCAGGGAGTCTGCTTCTCCCTCTGACCCTCCCCCCTCTTGTGCTCTCTCTCTCTCTCTCATTCTCTCTCAAATAAATAAAATCTTTAAAAAAAAAAAAGAATTAACCATTTATCCTGCATGGATCACAATATCCCCTATGTAGTACTCAAGTGGGGAAAGTATAACCTGAATCTAATTATGAGGAACAATTTTTAAAAACCCAAATGAGGAAATTCTTACTTTTTTCAAAAATGGGAAGGGAAATGTATTCTTAAATTTATCAATGTATAAAAGATGTTTTTAAGTCAGAAACAATGTTCCAAAATAAAGAAGACTAAGACCCCAAGTAATTAAATGAAATATATGATCATGTACTAGAGTAATAAAATTTTATAAGGGATCTTTCTGGGTCAAATACTGACTGATATTGGGTACATTTTTTAGAGGACATAAAAGTATTGTCAATGTTGAAGTTACTAAAATGAAAAACTATATTCTGGTTTTGTAAGAAAATTTTTAGTAGAAATATACACTAAAGTAATTAGTGGTAAAGAAGTATACCTAATGAATTTTTGGATCTGGCTAAGGAGATAAACCATCTGCACTGTGTTAACTACCTTGAGGTCACCATACAGAGGAGTCCTAGCTGCAAAAAATGTTCATGTGTAAGCATTCTGGTCCACAGTCTTAACTAAACTGAATCTTTATGTCATCCCAGACCAAGTAAAAGAATATGTCTGAAAGAACCTCCAAACGATTTCAGTCCCAGACAGAGTGAGAAAGAGAGAGGACATCTCTTTTGTTTTTAGCCAAATACCTCATTTGCAGATTCTCTAAGCATACAAAAGTGGTTATTGTATAAAATCTTAGTATTTTGTTATGCAGAAGTAAATGATCAAATATGGATTTTGGTACCAGAAATAGGGTGCTGTGATAACAAAAACCTAAAACATATGTCATTGGCTTTTAGAAAAGGTACAGGGAATAAGAAGTAAGAGATAAAAGGCAATAATTAGCCAACACCCGACAAGACTGAAGCTTGTTGGTGAGGGCTTAAAGGAAACTGAGGAAAATGTTATTAAAAGCTGGAGCACACTTTGTTCTCTGTCTTCTTACCTCCCCACCTTTCAAACTGAAATCCAAACTCCATTCCTCTCATGAAGCCTCTCCTTATTTTTCTGACCTCACCAATGTCCCCTTACTTAGAACTCTTTCCATGAAGAAACAGTACCTTAGAGTTTAGCGTCTAATACTTCTTTAATTATTACTACTAGCTTTTAAAAGTTTGTAGCCATGTCTTTTGCTGCTTCTGAATCTGTGACAATATTTAACACAATACAAAAACACAAAATAAGTACTAAATATTTTTTACCTGCTTAAACTCATCAATAGACTTTCATCTGACAATCAGTTTCTTCCAGAGAAATGTGGTAATTTGTAACATACATCTTTCCTATTCATCACAATATCTCAGACTCTAGAGATTCCACCTGAAAAGCTGACTGAGAAACCAGTGACTTGTTCATGAAAAAAGGAATTGGACCTTCAATGGCATTTTTTCAAAACCTCATATTCTTAGCAGATGATTAGTGACCTATGGTATTTCTTAGTATTTGCTTTCATAAATGAATTCAATTCTTTAATAATTACATATCACCAAACTTTAAAAGTATTGTCAGATTAGTTCCATAAATTAAACTGGCTTGCTCAGTTACAGTACAGATGTGTTATGATGACAATGTAGGTAATGTGGGTAGCTTTATTTGCACTATTTTGTTTTTTCCTAAAGTTACGTGGAATATAATTGTATTTTTTTTTTTTTTTGGTGCTCAAACAAGATTCTCTTCTGAATTGTGTCTTCCAATGATGTTTAGTAATTATTATACCTTTGTTTGTATTAAATACTTTTCAATAAAGGTTTCTCAGTAATTAAAAAAAAAAACCTGGAGCTCAGGAAAACTTTGCTATATAGTGGCATAAAAATTGGGAAATCCCTTGCCTGAAGTAATGCAGAATATAGAAATGTACCTGATGAAGTGTTCAATCTAGCTAAGGAGATTTTCAGGCAAAATGTCAAAAGCGTCATCAGTATTTCTTCTAGCTGCACGTCATAAAATATAAATAGAGATGAGATTAAAAAGGACGCTTTGCTAAGACCTCAGAAATCCAGTATCTCATAGTACCTTTCAGCTAGATCCATAGGCTCTCTAAAGATTTCATGATGTGTGTCACAAATCCTTCCTGTTAAAGTAGAAGGTCTCTGGGAATCATAAGGGCATTGTTGCTGAAAGACCACTCCGGGAGCCAGAGAAAGGTCTGTCTAGAAGAAACAATGAATTTAAATTGTCATATATCTATTCAATAAACTGAATTCATAATATTACATCTTCCCAATAAGTAAACTGCAGCCCCAAGTGGCTTCACCAGGACTTTCTACCTAAAATTTAGAGAAGAAAATTCTTCCCAAATGTTGAAAAACCTATGAAGTATCTTTAATCTAATTTTATGATGCCAGTCTTGATGCCAAAGCCTGAAAAAGATATTTTGAGAAAGAAAAATTACAGAATCATCATTATCATTATGATAAAGGCAAAAGTTATAAACAATAAATTACCAAAGTAAATCCAGTAATAAATACAAAGCATTAGACATCACCAAATTCAGTTTATTCTGGGAATACAAGATGATTAATATTTGGAAAATCAATCAATGTCAGTATATTAGTTTCCAATTTCTTCATAACGAATTACCTTAAACAGTGACTTATAACAACACAAATTTATTATCTTATAGTTTGGGATATCAGAAGTCCAAAATGGGTCTCTGGAAACTATTGTCAAGATATGGACAGGGTTGCATCCTTTCTGAAAGTTCTGAAAGAGGAAAATCAATTTCTAGAGTCTGCTCCCATTTTTTGGTGTGACCTTTTTCCATTCTCAAAGCTAGTGATGGCTGTTTGAGTTTTTCTCATTCTACATCACTCACATTGACTTTTCTGCCTTCTTCTTTCATATTTAAAGGACCTTGTTTATTATATCGGGCCTAGCCAAATAATTCAGGATAATCTCCCTACTTTATATTCATCTGATTAGTAATTTTAATTCCATCTGCCACCCTAATCTCACTTTCCATATAATCTAACATATACACAGGTTGAAGCAATTAGGATATGGATCTCTTTCTGTCTACCAAAGTTAGAACAGAACAAAGGAAGAAAATCATGATTATCTCAATTAATGCATAAAAACATTTGATAAAATTCAATACCCATTTATTATTTTTTAATTTCCAGAAAAATACAAATAGAATTGCCTTAATCAATAGCAAGCACTATACTAAGGTTGAAATACTAAAGACAGGGGGCCTGGGTGGCTCAGTCATTAAGCGTCTGCCTTCGGCTCAGGTCATGATCCCAGGGTCGTGGGATCGAGTCCCACATCGGGCTCCCTGCTCAGCGGGAAGCCTGCTTCTCCCTCTCCCACTCCCCCTGCTTGTGTTCCTGCTCTCGCTGTCTCTCTCTGTCAAATAAATAAATAAAATCTTTAAAAAAAAAAAGAAATATTAAAGGCATTCTCCAGAGATGAAGACGGATGTCATCTATCATTGTGTTAGCGATTCAACCAGGACAATCAGGCAAGAAATGAAATGAAGGGAAAAGGAATAGAAAGAAAATATTAAACTGTAGTTAATTATTTATAAGTGGCATAATTCTGTTCATAGACCATCTAAAAGAATCTATAGAAAAACATTCAGAATTAAAAATAAACTGTAACCATTTCCAAGATATAAGGTAACTATACAAAAATCACTTATATTTATATATACCAGCAAAAAACAATTAGAATTTTTAATGATACAATTTATAACAGTGATATAACCAAGTAATTAGTAATACACCTTTTAAAAGATGTTCAAAACATCTATGCAGTAACTATGAAAAATAAACTATGAAGGGTAAACCATATTAATGAATAGGAAAATTCCGTATTATGAAGACACTGCTTTCTTCAAATTAATTTATACATACAAAGCACTAATTTTGAGTGGCCACTCCAAGCCTGGAAACACAAAACAAATTAACAGTAATTCCTCCACAAAGCTAAATAATTAAAGGAGTGATATTTCTGAGTATTATCCCTTTTTATCTTTGCTCTTTCTTTCTGGGAATATGGCACTATATCTTTCTCCTTTATCATTTTTCCCTTTCCCTTTTTCTAAATTTGAAAGCCTTTCTATTTTTACTGCCCATGTCTCTGAATATTTTTTCATATTCAATGTATCCATATATCTCATTATCCCTCACCCACTTCAAACTCTGCTAACACTGTTTCATTTATACAATTTTTGCAGTTAGCATAGTATTTTTAGAATTCTAAAACTTCTTTCTTGGAAGCTTGAAGACAATTATACTCAGACTCTCTCTGACTCCTTGCCAATATCCAACTGATACAGTGCTATGTTCGCTCTGGAAAGCTTCAGAAGTATTCTTCCCAGAACTCCTTCTACCCTCACACACATCCTATCAGTGTTTATCTTCTTATTTGCTGAAGGATCCAGAGTGTTTACTCTGTACCCTGCCAACCTTTTTCCAAAAACTGTCTTAGGTGCCATACGATATTCTGGTAGTTTTTTTTCTCTGTCATCACTGTTGATCCTGAGCAAAAGAGTATAGAAAGGATTAA